AAAAAAAAAAAAAAACTGTTGTAAATAGGAGTGGAAAATACAAAAGTCAATACACTATAAGTAAAGGAAAAATGGAAATTTGTTTTGCAAAAGTCATTTAAAAGCCAGGTGTGGTAGTACATGCCTTTAATTCCAGCACTCAGGAGGCAGAGGCTGGCAGATCTTTGTGAGATTGAGGCCAGCTGGTTCCAGCCAATTGGGGCTACAGGAAACCCCTGTCTCAAAAAGACCACAAAAGTCACTTAATAAATTATATTTTGCTCCTGTTATAATTTTTAGAAAAATATCAACCAACAGCGATGTCTGAAAAAATAAAAAGTGAAACTAGATGTGGCGGCACATGCCTGGAATCCCAACATTACGGGGATGGGAGCAGCAGGACTGTAAATTCCAGGACGGCCTAAGCCACAGACCACGCTTCAAAAGAAAGAAAAAGAGAAGGGAAAAAGGGCAAGGAAAAAGGGTGAGGGGATGGGAGGAAGAGGGAGGAGGTATGAGGGGAGAGTGAACATCAACATCAGAGCAGGACAAACAAGCTAGCTGGACATAGAGGCAGGAGGGTGATCTCTAAACTACTCTCGAGTGGAGCTGAGGCAGGGGAACATTTAAGACCAGGAGATCAAGGCCATCCTGGGCAAAACCTTGAGTCACAATCTCAAGAGGCACTCCAAACTGAATTCTACATTTCCCTAAAGGAACTCTGACTACATGTCCTAACTGTCTGAAAGGACTCATTCTTTGGCATCAAACTAGAAAATTCAAAATTTAATGGATGTTAAGGCAGGAGAAAGCATTTGAATTGCAAAGTACTCCGAGCAGTTGTGAAAAGTGAAGATGCTGCAGACCAGTCAGAAACAGAAACCCGTATTGATAAGGCTGGAGAACCTCTGTGAATTTGGGAGCCAAGAAAAGATCATGATAATGAAGAAACACTCAAAATGCCACAATTTGCTTTAGTCACTGCCTAGAGGAACTCAGTGGAGACCTAAGAATTATGGACACAGAAAGAAACCTCCCATTTCCATGTCCAAATCCAACTTCAAAAGCAGGTGTGGGCTACAGAGAAATCACACGAGGATTGAAAATCAGAAAACGCTGAAAAGCAAATCAGGTTGAAAAGTACTGAGAAAGGGCAACAAGAAACAGAACAAAGGCAGCTGAGGGAGCTTTATTCTGAACTCATGCACAGGGTAAAATGCATTGTATTCGTGTCCCCTGTGAAAGTGCTCATTTTACTAAACTGCCTGCTAAAACTTTAAGATTAAATTTTTCAGTAAGAGGTTAAGGATTTGAGGGCTACACAGGTGATTCGGTGGTTAAGAGCCCTGGCTGCTCTTTGCAGAGGACCCAGGTTCAGTTCCCAGCACCCATATGGCAGCTAACAACTGTCCCTAACTCTAGTTCCAGGGGATCCAATGCCCTCTTTTGACCTCCAAGGGCAATGAACACACATGGTACACTTACATACATGCAGGCAAAACACTCATACATATAAAATAAAAATAAATCTAAATATTTTAAAAATAATTTAAGGATTTTAAAACGTGCTGTAGGAGCTGGGAAACGCAGCTCAGACAGAAGGCCCAGCACACAAGGGGTGCTGGGTTCACCCCAATACTGAGAATGAATGAGCAACAACAGGACTATGTACTAAATCAGAAGTGACTGCTAATTTAAGACACTGTGGAGCAGGATGTGGTGATGCATATCTGTGATCCCAAGGTATTTAGGCTGAGGCAAGAAGGTCTTAGATTTTAAAGTCAGGCTGAACAACTTAAGGAGAGCTAGACTCAAAATGAAGAAAGGGATGAGGATAGCCCAGTCATACAGTGTTTGCCCAGCCCAGGTGAGGCCCTGGGATCACCCATAGCTTTTAAAAAAAAAAGCAATGGACTAAAAAGAAGTAAATTTAGAAGAAACCACGAAAACAGATTTAAAAAAAGGCAAGGTGGGCATCATACTAAATTACTATTAAAGACAACAGATACAAGTATAACATTCTCTAAAGTCAGTTTGCCTTTTGGGGAGGTATGGGGAACAGGGTCGTGCTGTGTAGCCAAGACTGGCCTCAAGCTCACTATCCTCCTACTTTAGGGTCCCAAGAGCCAGGATTACAGGTGCGCATCACCACACCTGCCATCTAAATTGCTACTCTTCAACGTGTATGAGCAACTAAGCAATGGCAGAGCCACAAGAAAAACTGAAGTGTTGTTCGTCATCATTTTCCAGGTTATACACTGTTTAAATAAGGGAAGAGGGTGAAAGCTTTGTTAACCAACAGGAAATGTACTGTTCTGGGTCCCAGATTCTGTTGGGAAAACTTCATTTTCATGCTCTAAACTGTCAGAAGAACTTCTTTAAGAATGCTAACCCTGGGCTGGAGGGAGGGTTCAGCAGTTAAGAGCACTGGCTGCTCTTGCAGAGACCTGGGTTCAGTTCCCAGTAGCCTCATGGCAGCTAACAACCACCTGTAACTCCAGTTCCATGGGGCTCTGACCTCCTTTTCTGACCTCCAAAGGTACCAGGTGTAAGCGCCCCCCCCCCGAAAGGGTGGTGTATATACATACATGTAAGCAAGCAAAACACCCATACACAGCATAAAATAAAAACATATCTTTTTTAAAAAAGGATCTAACCCTAAGAGGAGGAGTATGCATCCACTTTATTATCTGTGCATTAACTCAAGTTTGCCTTTATCTAATTAGCCATTAAAGTTAAAATTATTATTATTATTGTCTTTATGAGACAGGGTTTCCCTGTAGCTCCAGCTAGCCTGGAACTCACTATGTAGACCAGGCTGGCCTTGAACTCACTATGTAGACCAGGCTGGCCTTGAACTCACAGAAATCTACCTGCCTTTGCCTCCCAAGTGCTGGGACTAAAGGCATGCGCCACCATGCCTGTCTAAAATTATTTTTTAACCCACAGTAAAAATAGAAAAATTCCCAAGATCCGGGTGAATAGAAATCAAAATAATATTAGGTAAATTTTAGTATTCTGTGTATTCCTAAAAATCAATAAATACACAAATAAGCAAATAGCATTTCTATGTTTGGTGTTTCAACAATTCTTAAAACACATCCAAGGCTGAGCTGTGGTGGGGTCAGCCTGCTGGCATACTCACTGTATCGGAATCCGCCAACGCTGTCTGAGGAAACCCCGACATATTTGTCCTTGTTCTTCTTGGCTTTCTTTCGCTCTTCCCGAAGCCTGTCGTCGTCCTGCGCAAATTCAACCAGTTCCTTCACCTTCTGGCGAATGTTTATACCTTGATCCTTGCCATGTTCATCTTGATGACAGTAAGGGAGAAATCAAACCTTAAGAACTCACTTAGTATGTACAAACTCAGACAAATCAAAAACAGCTACAAAAATTACTTCAATATTAAAAAAAAAATTTGAGGCAGTTTGTGGTGTTTAAATTTGCCATTTCCTCTTTGGCAAATTCTAAGTTTTGAAATGCAATTTTGACTTAAAGACCTTAGACAATAGTACTACACAAGACTAAAGACCACAAAAAGGATTATTAATGGTGACCTTACAAAATAAATATAACCATAAATGTTTTCTATAACATCTTAACAAAATGAAACATGAACCACTTCAACATTTTGATGATTAAAAAGCACCCCAAGTGTCTTGATTTCCTCAATACAAGTTTCAGATCACTAATTATGAGGACTTAGTATAGCTAAAAAACTGAAATTTTATAGTAGTTTCAACTAGGGCAGGCTACAAAATGAAAAGACTTCATTCTGTAGCCTCTTTCACATTCAAAACACACTCTGGCCTTGCTGCCTTTGCACAGTAAATATCTGGTGGGAGGGGAATCCAGCTTCAAACAGATGTGTGTGTTTCGGAGCTCTAACCTTTTCTTCCCATATGATTAAAGCTATTCCTTTATGGACACCACAGGGGACCAGTCTCCAGTGCATATTTTAATAAAAACCCGAACGCTCATGTTGTGCTGGTTCTGTTGTTATTAGCCAGTCCTTTCTGCAAGTTCTTGTCTTCACTAATTAATACTCTAGGGCCCCACGTCTTGGATTCTGCACTCGTCACACAACTAGCAACAGTCACATTCTAATTAGAGCAGAGAAGCTTCTAAGCGAGTTCAGGTGACTGACAACTCCAACTACTGTTTTAATTTGCTTATAAGGTTTTTCTACTGCTCACCTACAAAGTGGTAATTTTCCAGGGATCGCAAATCATAAATGTGTTCTCTGGCACTTGTAACAACACGCTCTGATCCATTTCTTATGAGGTAAGCTAGGAGCAGCAGCGACTGAAAAAAGATAAAGCACCAAATGATTTAATGAAATAAGTTCTGGACGAGCTTTGGTACACGTTTTTTTAAAAAAATTACAGTATTACCAGATTAAAAACTTCAGAGTAGTGGGGAGTGTTCCTTGACCTTTTAGTTAAGATATTAGATACACAGTCTGAACTTATCAATTTGAAGTCCTCTGCCATCAAGTACAGTAAATAATTACAAGCTATTCAATATACTCCTAGATTTTAAGAATCAGCAATTCTGATGCTCAACAGTAAGTGCATGACTCACATAAACTACGAGGCTCTGGAGTGGCTCAGCTTTTATTTATCTGGGCATGACAGAACTGTGAAGTATTAGAAACAGCACAAGAATTATCTGGTAATTACACAATCCCACAGCATTCTCCTCATATAAAATTTAATTCTGAGGTTAATGATGTGGCTTTTGTTTCAAATAATCTGCCAACAAAAGGAAAAGCTCAAGTGTTTCAGAAAACTTCACTAAAATGTAAACTTCAAATGACTGCTAATGGGGAAGTGGTTTCCTTATGAAGTGATATGAAATGATGAAACTTTTTTAGAATTAGTCAGTGGTGACTCTTGCACAACTCTGTGAACACAATGAAAACTATTCTCAAGTCTACATTCGGAAATGAACCTCACTTGAAACAAACTTCATTAAAGATGATGAGATGCAATCTCTGTGGAAGTTCATAAAACTGAGGTCTAAAAACCATCATTCTACTAGTAGATGATTTCTACTTTGGGGGTGGTTTTTGAGGGTCTTTCCCCACCCTATAGCCCTGGCTGGCCTGGAATTTGTGATACGGGAAAGGCTAGCCTCTACCTCACAGTAGTCCTCCTGCCTCGGTCTCCCCAGTGCTAAGAGTAGAGGCAGGCACACATCACATCTAGATTTAGTGATTTGTTTTTGAAAAAGGAGTATAGCCAATGATTTAAGATTACTGATTTTTAAAGAACATTATATAATTTACAGATATTCCAAGAAAGATCTTAAGAAACAATATAAAAAGCACAGAATTGGGGCTGGGAAAGCTCAGTGGGTAAAGGGCTTACCATGCAAGCATGAGGATGGGAGCTCAGCTCCCCTGAACCCACATACAAGCTGGGCAGGTGTGGCTGCTAGTGCTGTGTAATTCTAGTGCTCAGGAGATGACATGCCTGGGACAAGCTGGCTAGCTACACCAGCTGAGTCAGAGCTCTGGGTTCAGGGAGTGGCCTTGCCTCAGGAGATAAAGTCCAGTGTGACAGAAGAAGACACTCGATGTAAAATCTGTGGCCTCCACACACATTTGAACATGTACACACGTGCGTGTACACACACACCCGCGCTCACATGCCTAAAACATAAATTTTTTTAATCCTGAAGACAAAATGCCCAAATATGCTTCAAATATAAATATTAATTTAGCATACATGCTTTGGAAAATAAGTTTTGAGGAGCAAGAAAATATGAAGACAGATGATCAACTTTAGAAATGTACCAAAACTAAATAAAAGGATCTGACAAAAAGCACATTCACACAAAAAAAGAAAAACAAAAAACAACACCCCCCCGAAATGAACAAACAAAAAAGCACATTCATACACTCAAAATGTTAGAAAGTCTGTACATTTTGAAATCCCCAATTATCTCTCTTAGGGTGCTGAATTCTATTCTAATACCACTATAAATTAGGCCAAGTTTTATGCAGAGATGACAAACCATATTAGACTGGGGTTTATCTCAAATATGTATATATTAAACATGCATATGATTTGAGGTTCAGTACTTTGAAACACATTAAGTGGATCTTTAGTAGGAAAACTTTTAACAAATAAAGAACACAAGTTTTGTGTTTTTAATGTGTATGAGTGTATTGTCTTCATGTAGGTAGGTACACCCAAGGCCTGAAATGCCCACAGAGGTCAGAAGAGGGCGTCGGATACCCTGGAACTGGAGTTAGGACAGTTGTTAGCTGCCATGTGGGTGCTGGGAATAGAACCCGGGTCCTATGCAAGAGCAGTCAGTGCTCTTAACTGCTGAGCCATCTCTCCAGCCCTCAAGAACACAAGTTTTAAACAGTTTTCAGTGAGAGCTGTCTATGAAAACTAGAAAAAAAAAACAAAAAACTTCCATTGTGTCTTTCAGAATACTCCATTTGGGCTTTAATGTACTTCGAAATCACTTCTATAGGTCTGCCTTAAATTTCAACCATTAGTTTTCAACATGTCGTTCAAGTAGGCTTATAATCATACCTTATAAACTCTTCTCCAATTCTTTTTGTTGTCTTTTAACATTCGAGACCAAAGCATGTTCATAAGTTCGGGAAATTGTTCATACATAAATGTGGCTCTGAAAAAAAGGATAATTTTCCTTAAGCACATGCAGTACGTTAACTTTGACAGTAGATGGCAGGCATGCTCTAAGTCATTACTGCCCAAAGTGCTTAAAAAATAAGCTTATAATTCAGGAAATTTAGATGACAGTCTTCCTAAAAAAGGCTTTTATATATTTTATACAAGACCTAACACATCAATAAGCCCTAGTAATCTGTAAGCGTGATCATGCTCGGCAAACTTTTCGTTCACTGCCATAGTACCCCAGATCTTCATCAGGAAAACATTCTGCAATTTTATTCCAAATATTTTCTATGTACTCTTCAAAATTGGCATGGTAAGCTACAGTAAGCATCTAAACTTGACTGACAAACGTTTTGAAAGCTAACTTTTAGAAGGAATGGACCGTATATAAAACTTTCCACATTATTATCTGAATGGATTATGCAAAATGTGCATTTGGCAGTTAAACAGTTTAAAAGTGAAAGCAAATCTCACATTTCTCTGTAAAGGTACTTTGATTCTTTATGCACTGCTGAGTCAAATTATCACTTACTTGGCAATCTCTCCCATGAGTTGCCCAGAAGGTCCCCAAGGATCATCATTCGTTGCTTCTCGAACCTTAGACTCAATCTCTGAATAATTCATAACCACATTGGTGCTGCAGAGAAAAAAAATGCATGCATATACGCACAAAGATTAGCATCAAAACTGAGCAACACATGAAAACTTAATCATGATACTACTGGGTGTCCTAATGAGCTACCTCAGCAGCGGAGGAAGACAGTGTCAGCACACAAGCTACCCCAAAGACACCATATAACACATTTATCTTCAAGACTTTACTATTCCATTAGCCTTCAGGAATATAGACGAGAGATTACATTAACACTGGCTTAAGTTCAGTGAAAATGGCTTTGGGTCAAATTAAAAGGGAAACTGAACGTGCTAGAGTTTACCATGGAACTAAGTTGTCAGTTTCCTGACCAGATTTGGTTCAAGACTTATGCTTCTTGTTTACACAAATTCTATTCTATTACACATAATCATGTAAGAGCTGAACCTTATCTGTATCACATTTCTATAAAGAAATGACAAATCAAAGATAATATTCTACAAATGTTTAGAACTATCATGAACATTTACTTGTAATTGTAATTTACTTGATTGTTTTCCTCATTTGCTACACATCAAATATTTCCTATGTCAATTATATGGTCATTGTAAACCCCACACTTTTATCAACTGCATAATATTCCACTAAGAGACTCGTATATTTAACTTTTCCTTAAGGCTTCTACAATATTGTCAAGAATGTAGAAGTCAGAAAGATCTGATTCTCCTCACATTTTGTGACCTCTGGCAAAACTGCTTTGTCTTAATTTCCTCAAATGTATAATGGGAAGAAACTACCTCAAAGGGCAGCACTTTGGATGGTGTCTAGCTCAGGGCTTGACATAGAGCAAGTGTTCAATACATTCTAGCTGTGGTTACAGAACACATAAACCATCTTCTAGTAAGAAAGATTTGTCTTCAACAAGCATGCTTTGGAGATTAAGATATGAGACTGCAAAATGTTTGTTAAAGTATACTTTGTCATGTATGTGAATTGAAGGAATCAGAGACGTTCTGAGAATAAAGAAAACTTTAAAAAACGTGACACAGTATAGTATTCCTCTGACATCGAAGACTCTAATTACTCCGGAGCAACTGTTGTAATAGATGCCTGTGAATGCAGCATTCAAATCTTCTACTCAAAATTAAACCTCAGAAATAGTGAAAAAAATCGGGTTTTGGTACCTATTACTCAGATCAGGCATGTCCCCCACCCCACACTATGCGGCTTTTAAAAAGTCAGCATAACTTTTAAAAAGTTATTTTCTAACGAAGGAAAACGTGATTAAAACTGTCACTCAAATCTCTTAAATGTAAAGAAGTATAAACTTCTTTAGCTTTAGGGAAGACATTGATAAACAGATTTGGATGCATACTTACATAGGTATGCATATACATACAAGCTGCAGAGTCACTAAGCAAACAATCTGGCTTCTAGACTGACATACAGAACACTGTTTCACTAAGAAAAATGAAATCCTAGTGTTTTTCTCTCAAATCCCTCCTACACTATTTACTAGTACAAAGTATTTCCTTGGGAGTAAAATAAACCCACAATTTCTACTGCCCCTTTGACATTTAGGACTACTAATGAATTTTAATAAAAATCTGCTAACAATTCTGTTGATAATACTGTATAAATATATTAGAGCAGCCCTTCCCCCATTTTATCAACAATGGAACAAAATAAAGCCAGGGCAGCTAAAACCAGTTTTGCAATTTAAGATAGCACAAAAAGATGAATTTCAGAACACTTGGGTTTATCCTGGTGGATGAAGACGGTACAGCTTAGTCAGGTGAAGTGTCTAAATGCAGTTGTGAAAATGGACAGTACCGATCTGGACTATAATTCTCCCTAGCATTTCATTACAGAGGATGCATTGAAATGCCTGCATTGTTTGACTTGTTGAAGAACAAGATGAAAAGAGTTAATCTCCACTCCACGTACATGAGACATTTTTACCAGCTTTCAGACATTCTGTAGCTTTTGGAACACTACTATCCTTGTTCTAGCCATAAAGGAAGGCTCACAGTCAAAAGAGAAAGGTCCTGTTTCTGTAACCCTTCAAAGGCTCTTAGCTGAAGGCCTGTGTGCTGGAGTGCTGTGTGTTTAGGAGAGGGGGCAGAGAGCCAGCAATTTAAGAATTCCCTCCTTTCCTTAGCTGAAAAACAAGAGGAGCTATTAAAACACACAATATGTTATAAAGAACATCCACAGATAGATATGGCAACCAGAGTAACAGCACAGAGACAGTACTTCAAGAAGGGAAGCAGGCTCTATTTTAAGCCAATTTCTAGTAAAACTGTTGCTTTCAGAAACTGCAAAGGGCTTTTCCAAGATGAGATCTGATAATATAAAAAAATTCCAAAACAAAGTGTTTTTAAGCTTCACTCAATTCAGCAACAACAGTAGTCTAAAACAAAACCAAACAACATTGCAGAGTTTGACCTCTTCCATATCATTTGAAAAATAAGTTTCTTAAAAGGTAAAAGGGACATTTTGACCCTTCCTTTCTTGTGTTTTGTGTTGCCCTGAATATAGGCCCTATGCATAACACCAGGAACATTTTAAAAAAGGAACCCCGCCCCCCAAACTGAGGGAAAAAAAATTAATGTATTTTCAGGTAGTTTAATTTTTAAAGCTTCTTAGGCCCAACGGAAACAGCTAAAAAATGACGATTTTAGACACTAGAGGGAGCTCGCTAACCGGTTTTTAAGAGAAAATCGAGACAAAAGGTCTAGAATCTACTGCACTAACAAAATTAGAGGATAGCAGCCAAGTTTCAGCGCACTTAGACTACATTTCCAAACAGTTTCTGGGCTCTAGCAACAGGAAACTGAGATCCCCAGCTTAAATACCTGTTCACGTAGTGTGAACTACGACCACAGCTTCCGCTCACAGCTGAAGGAAGCTCCCTCCTGGCACTGTCTCTCACTGAAGGCGGCCACCAAAGCTTTCCGGTGATCTCCGCTGTCCACTGCTGTAAAGAAGCCATCTTGGGGGAAAGTTGTGGAAAACTCCCCGTCACAATCTTAAATGTTTCTGGGAATTACCACCAGAGCTTCACATGTATTTAATTCTTCAAGACACAGACAGACATGAAAACATAATGGGGGGGGGGGGTCCAAAGAAAAATAACTTTAAGAACTGCTGCTGCAGGTGGGCACACCTTCAATCCCTGCACTGGGGAGGCAGAGGCAGGCGGACGCCGCTCTGTGAGACTGAGGCCACCCTGGTCTACACAGTGAGTTCCAGGCCAGCCAGGGCTGCAGGGGGAGACTGCCTCAAAAGAACAAAGAAAACAAAAACAATCAAAAGAAGTGCTGCAGCATTTTTGACAATTCTTCAGCAACATTAAGTACCATGTGTAATTTTGAAAACAATCTAACAAGCACCAGAAAGTACCAAACGAGCCTCTACACATGCTCTAAGCTACTGAGAACAGGTTTCTCTTTGCTTAAACAGGAATCTTGATAAGTCAGTGACCAGCAGAGCTGGTTTCTGCAACACATAAAGGATCAAGATCACACTGCTGGAATGTACAGTAATGACGACGGGGTAGATCAGCAGTGCAGCTGGCTAATTTTAGTAATACCAAAACTGAAGGGAGTCTACCAATGGACTAAAGAGAAAAGGCGAGAGGTGAGGATCGTGGGAAGAACACGCAAAAGTTCTTATGCTTTGGGGATTCTCCTAAAAAGGAATTTTGAGCCACTGCTAGAACCTGGGAATACAGCCACCGCGGCTCACTTAGTTAACCTGCTCACTGCTCCTCCGGCCTCCCTCCTCCACACTTGCTGACTGCCAGCGTCAACCTCGGGACAGAACTAAGAACCCCAACAGTCCACTCTGCATCACCACTCCACTCACCCATCTCTAACACAACCCCAAGGGCTAGACTGCATTTCTCCGGCTCTGTAGGGGCCATGGCTAAGTGCACAGAGCTACCTCAATCTCACAGGTGGAGTTCAGTCTGCACACTGGTAACAGTGGCCCTGTTCTTTAGTCCCCATTTTTCTCTTACTGGGCCACTGGATATAGGTAGAAGACCAAGTTATTTTCCTTGCCAAATTTGGGTCCAGAACATAGAGGCAGAACTACACAAAAGGAAAAGTTAACATGAGGCTTTTACTTACAGTGCCAATGCCTCTTCTTATCTGTACCAAGAAAAACCATTAAGGGGCTGGAGGTGGCTCACCAGTTCAAGAGCACTGGCTGCTCCTGAAGACCTGGGTTTGATTTCCAGCACCCATATGACAGCTTACAACTGTCTTTAACTCCAGTTCCAGGGACTCCAACTCTTTGGGTACCAGACACACACATAGCACATATCCATACATGCAGGCAGATACTCATACAGAGTAAACAACAACAAAATAGGGGTAGAAAAGGGCTGAGAGACGGCTCAGTACAGTAACGAGCTCGGAGTAATGGCAGCTCTGTCACCCTCTTCTGGCCTCTGCCAGCACTGCACACATACCAGGTACACAAATATACATGCAGGCAAATGCTTACACACACAAAAATATATTTTAAAATTTCATTAAAAAAGAGAAAAGTTCATTTTATTCCCTCTTACACGTTCTCTCTTCTCTCTCTCTCTCTGAGCATGTATGTGTGTATAAGTGTAAGGGTAGCCAGTACACGTGCAGGTGAGAGAGCAACTTTCAGGAGCTGATTCTCTCCTTCCATCACATGGGTTCTGGGGATCAAACTCGGGTATCAAACTCTTGGTTTCCTCTTGACTGATGCTGGCATTCAATGTAGTTCAGTGCAGTACTATTATGAGGGGGGGGCGGGGAGACTGAACTATTTTAATTATTCCTGAGCACTGCTGACTGGTCGTGCTTTTAATACTCTTGCAAGTGGGAAAAAAATAAACCTGCAAGAAAAGACCCCCAACACTCTGGGAGCTGAAGACTCTATCTTTCAAAGTATGAACACTGCAATGTTGACAGACTCCTGAAAACCTCCCAGAATATATTAAAAGTGCAAGTATTGTGTTAATACTCTTCTTTCTTGTGACAGGAAAGCCAATATTTAGAATCATCTAAGTTTTTACTTCTCCAGTGAGTCGTTTCTGCAGGGTGGAATGCTTCACCCACTGTACAAGGCTTGCTGCCTCCTCTGTTACATAAAGTCTGACTTTGTGAATTTCACTTCTTAGACTCTGTCACACTCACTGCTAGCACTAGGGAGGGGTGGCTTTCTTTCAGCCGGTTCTTCACAAGAAATGATGCTGTGACCACAGTCCCACACTAGAGATCAAGCCAAGCTGCGTGGTGGGACACAGTAGCAGGCTGGGATAAGTAACTTGTTCCCAACCAAGCACAGCAGATTTGGGGCAAGACAAAATTACAAATTGTTTTTTGTTATATGCTTTCCAGGTGTTTTTATTAAAAATTAAAACTCCGACTAGAAAGTCTAGTAAGAACCTGATGCATTTTAGTGCATTACAGAGGTAAATTCAATGCCAGACAAGTATGATCCAGGGCCTCATGGGCAGCAGCATGACTGACTCATACCACATGATACTTTCTCTTCTGGTTCTAAGTTGTCTTCTCTAAAAATTTAAAGCTTAGAAATGAGCATTCCAGACTTGGCATGGTGGCCTATGCCTGTAATTCTAGTTCTCAGGAGGATCCCAAGGTGAAGGACAGCCTGAGTTATACAAAGTAAGGCCTTGTTTTAAAAAGAAAAGAAAAACATTCCAAAACCCTGAAATTTCAACTAGTACATTAAGGAAATACTTGTTCCCTTGCTTACAGAGTGTTCCCCTGATGTTCTAGGAAGTTTCACTACTGATTCAGTATTGGTATCTGAGGCAACCTTATGCAAACACACACCCAGAATTTCTAAGAATCACAAAAAACAGTATGTTTCATCTTAGTCTAAAGCTGTCCTAAAATATATCTAAAAGTCTTTTCTAAAGGTACCAACTTTCTGATTGCTACTTACTAATGATGATTTAAACCAGAAAGTTTTTAGGGAAACAGTTTAGTAATTTATGAAACAGATGTGCAAAGAAAACTACATGAATGAGATAAGCCAAGAAAAACATACTGATGTCAACAGCTAAATTATGACCTGGGGGAGGAAGAGACTATTTCCCTACTTCCTTTTCCTTACAACTTCACTGCTCAGCAATACTTAATAAAATAACCCATCTGATAGCAGCCCAGCCTCAGACATTAAAATGGGCCTTGACTCCAGGAACATTCTGAACACCAGGCCACACTAAAGACAAACACTGCGGTTACATATTGTCATTAAGCTGCTTCATCTTTTATATTCTGCATAAAACACAAGTAATACATGGATTTAATTCATCAGCAATCTATTAAGTTACTGGAGGTAAGTGTCTGCCTGGTGTGCATCCACTGCTAGAATCCCCAAGCAAGTCAGTCGCTAGTACTTTGGCCTCCCTGCTTAAAAGGTTCCTGTGTATTACTACTATGGGCATTAGATGATGTATGGAAAATGTTTTCCATCGTTTTCTGATATTTATTATTTTCAGGTTCAGTCTCTTCAACCTAAATATGACCTGTTATGGACTGAATATGAAACGTCCTCCCTTGGCTTGCGCTCTGTCTGGTCTGCTGCAGGTGGCAGTTTTTCAAGGGGTTTTGGAAACTATAGGAGATAAGGCCTAGCTGGAAGAAGAAATCCCTGAGGGCAGGTCCTTGGGGTGTCTTAAGTATCACTCCAACCTCTGCCTGCTGGTTGCCATGATGTGAACAACAACAGCAACTTCCCCCACCCCCACCCCGCCATGATGGGCTGGCACTTCTGAAACCAAGAGCCAAAAGAAACCATTCCTCTCTGAGCTGTTTCTCAGGTAACTGGTCACAGAGAGAGTGAAGCTGACCAATACAGTCCAGTGAGGAGGTAGAATAACATGAACAGTGATGCCTAATCCTGACTGTCTCAAAAATAGTTTGGAGAGCTGGCTCAGCCCTTAAGAGCACATACTGCTCTTCCAAAGGATCCAAATTCAGTCCCAGCACCCACAGTGGGTGGCTCACAAAAGCCTGTAATTCCAGGGAATCCAATGCCCTCTTTTGGACACCTCAGGCATTGCACTCACATGCACAAATTCCTATAAAAACACACATACACATGATCAAAAATAAAAATAAATATTAAAGAATAATTAATGGAAGCTGGGAGTGTAGTTTGGTGTCAGGGTACAAGATCCTGGGTTCAATCCCCACTACCCAAACCAACCAACCAACAGACATCCAAAGTACCATAATCTTGAGCTTTCAAAACATGCAAAATAAGGTCCATGCAATTTACTCTATGAAGTGTGTGGCTAAAACAAAGGGTTTTAGAAGAGCCATAAAACCTAGTTTCTACACCATGCTTCCTTTCCAAGAACATTAATTATGCTAGGAAAAGTCTGGCTAGTCACTGGGCCTTGAGGGTTTGTGTGGAACCCCTTCTGTTCCCATGATCTTACAGAAGATCTGTCTCCACATAGTGTAGTCTCAGAACATTGAAGGGGCACTCTGGAAAGACTGGGAAATGTGGATTCTTAATGGCTAGCAAAAAAGGAGTAAATTACAGCTGGAGGAAGTAGGATAGAAAGGAACTTCCTAAACACAGGAGCAATCAAATGCTACCTGGAACAATGCAGCAAAATTCCAACTCTGAAACATTCCTTTCCAATCCCACAGAAAAAGCATTCTCAAAACACAAAATAATGTACCAGGCATGGTGGCACATGCCTTCAATTCCAGCACTGGGAGGCAGAAGCAAGTGGATCTGATCCAGGCCAGCCTGGTCTTACATAGTGCCAGGACAGCTGGGGATACAGGGAGATCCAGTCTCCAAAAAACCCAAAACCAAACAACAAAAATCCACAAAATTATATGACCACTTGTAACAACTATATAAAAATACATGTGCAGGTGGAAGAAGACAAAGACCAACAAAGACAACTCCCCTCCCCCCAAAAACAAAAACAAAACCCCA